TCACCAGTGTAAACTTCTTACAAAGGTATTTCCATTTTCCATTACCACTCACTTACCCTTCAATTAGTATGGAACCATTCTCATGGCAGGTGAGGCGCTGACACGGTGCAATGCCCAAATTTACGCCCAGCTTGAGCTCATCGCCGCGATAAACACATTTACCGGGATTATCTAGCAAAAATAAGGGCAAAGTAATTTTTAGAAAGAATCATTTTCTAAAATGAGGTATAAAATTTTAATAGTTTTTTTTTTGTTTTTTTCTGATTTTTGTACATGTGTTTTTTTTTTATACAGGAAAAAGAGCACTGAAATTTATTAGAATTATTTTCTAAAATCAGGTGTAAAATTTTCATAGTATTTTTTTGTGTTTTTCTGATATTTGTGCGTGTGTTGTTTTTTTTATATAGGAAAAAGAGCACTGAAATTTATGCAAAAAGCATAAACTTAAGCAGCATAAATTTTAAATTTATTTATTTTTTTCTTGGATTATATTGGCGCTTGTTTTATAATTTTTGGCATTATCTAGTAAAAGGGCCATACGAATTTATGCAAAAAATTATTTATTTTAATTTTGTATAGTTCATACAAAATTATTTATGTTTTTTGTTCTTTTTATAGTTTTTTTTTTTTTGGAATACCAGTATTTTCCATATTTTTTATCATTTGATATTTTATTTTAAACTTTCTTTTTACACTTTTCACACCTGGATCGGGCGGTATCAGACCGGAATACGCATCGGCGGTAGTGCTGTAAAGGAGCAACAACACCAGATCGCCAGCAAGTAGAACAAAAATTTGCAAAAGCGCACTTTGTCGTGAACAAAACATAGCGAAACTCAATTAAGAACTGAGCTGAGCAGCCAAGTGTTGGAGCGTTTGAAGTCTTGAGCGGCGCTTGAAATTGAGTGAGCACAAGTCAACTCAAGCGCAGTGTTGCCAGGTTGTTGAAGTGAGTAATGGTCAAATTGGTTCTCGCAAATCGTCTTTTGCATTGAAAAATCGCCAACACAAAATATTAAAATAAATATATGGTGATTGTTATACGAAAATAATACAAAATATAACTAGTTAACTTTTTACGAATTATCCAAATTACTAATAACAAAAATATGTTTAATTGCATTGAGAAGGGAAAATTTTTCCAAAAGTCTTAGAATTGCAATAGTCTTTTAGTTTGGGTTCAGGATATTTGTGCCCAGTAAAATTCTGAAGAAGTAAAAAAAAAATCGAGAACGAAAAATCGACTTGATAAAAACTCGCACCAACTTTGGAAAGCGGACTTTTTTTCACCAATTTTATTAGGAAAGGTCAACGTGCATGGATGCAATTTTTAGCTGTTCGCGTAAACTGGTTTTAAAGTTAAAGGATAATTGGCATTTGCTTGTCGAAATAATCAACTCGTCATGACAATTAAAAATCGCCCAAATGACGACCAAATATCAACCTGGCAACAATGTTCAAGAGGGAGAATATACCTTTGAAACGCTCTTTTGGAACGCTCAGTCCAATTTAAAAGACTTATCAAGGCTTACAAAAATGATTACGTGTGTATATGTCAAATGATTCTTCTATGCACATATCGAGCCCTAACTGTCAAAAAGACGTAAGTGAATATTTACTATTTTTTTTTTCTTTGATGCAGAAATGTTTCTAGCATCTAAATGCTGTTCTGCATCAAAAATTATTTTTTTTTTTAATATTCGCTTACGCCTTTTTAGCAGTTGGAGCTCGATATTTGCATACATTTACATACATATTGCGCATATGTACATACGTACACACATAAGTTTGTATATATAATTTGCATGCACCAGCTCAGCTCAGCTTGGAATTTTTAATCTCACCACTCAATTTAAGTTCAGCGTTCACTTTGTTTTCATTTCGCTACATTGTATGACAGCATTTTTTGCGCGCTTATCAGTTGTTTGCTCCTCTAAGCTTTGTTTACTCTTTCATTTGCGCTGAACTTGCACTTACATTTGTTATTGTTGTTGGCCTGTTTTCTAGATTTTATTTGTCCATTGGTGTAAATTTTTTTTTTTTAAATTTCATTTTTGTTTCTGCGTTTAGTTTCATTTTCATTTTGGTTTCGGTCGTCTCTTTGATTTGCATTTAAGTACATATATTGATTGGTTTTTTTGATACGCTGGTACAGCGATCACATACACACACACAAACACGCACTTACATACATACATACATACATACATACATACATACATACATACATATGTACATACATATGTACTCTCGGCAATGGGTCAGAGGTTATCGTTCCAATTTATTGGCAGCGCAATTTCGTTTGTAAATTTAAATGTTGTTGCTTCTTTCGTTGTGTTTTCGTGTATCGAATTTCGATTTTTTTCTAGAAAATTTTGCAATCACTTTTGACTTCATGCTGCCCGAGAAGCGCTTTGTTTTGTTTTGATTATTAATTTTATTTTACAGTCCGCGAATATTTTTATATAAGAGTATTATTTTATTTTCTGCTTCAGTGTCCATTAGCCTTTCATTAGTTTGCCTCAACGTCTGGTGAACACTTTTTCTATGAATGAAAATTCTTTGTTCCCATTAGATGGCTATTGAAGTGGATGTGTGCAAATTCCCACTTGCGAGTAAACGCATGCTCATCCATATTTACCTACATACATACATATGTAGGCAAGTTTAGTAAGTTGGTTCATCTTCATTCTCGACGTAAACCAATGAACGCATTTCAGCTCTGTTGGTATACAACTGTTCGCGTAATTAAAAATATAAAAATATATAAAATATATTGAAGGTTTTAGATATATGCCATTTTCAGCTTAAAATTTAAGCCAAGTTCGGAGAAAGTTAGAGGGGGAAAGTTGTGACCAGCAACTTTTTAAAAAAAATTCAAAAATCTTTAAATCTTAATCTTCGCATACATACGGCTCTCCATATCAGTGACAAATTCTTGTAATAGTTTTTTTCGCGTAAAAATATATGAAAATGTTTAAATTTGTCAGTTGTCCAATTAATTCTACACGCCTTACATATTTAACTTTCTAACAGCAGCAGAAGATTTAAAGCTTATTTTTCCATGCACTTACTGCTTAGTAGGCAGTACTAAGTTCCGATGCTTCATCCAAAAAGATTTTTTTCTTAACAATCTAAACCACAAAATGGCATTCGAATAAAAGACTCTAAATTAGACCATGACGTCAGAATTGAGGTTTAACTGATACAGCCTGTATAGCTGTGAATTACAAAAAAAAAGGCCCATTTTATCTCACAGGCGAATTTTGCACAGAACACCGAACGGCGCTGGCGGACCTTAGCCACAATAAGGCTGCTTTTCAGCGCTGTACCTTTGGTTTTTGATAGGTATATGGGAGTTGTATTGACAAGAGAGGAGAAACGACCTCCAACCACAATGGAACTCTATTAAGCTACGTAATTATATCTTGTTGAGGGCGAAAGCCTAAATTTACTGAAAGTTAGTAGACAAATAGAGTTTTTACTGGCCAACACATTTTGTCTGGTGCAGATTGTAGGCAAAGCGGAGGATACTGCTGGAAAAATAATGGAAGTATTTGAGAAACTCTCAGCGCAAAATTTCATTTACTTTCTAACGCTTTTTTGAACAATACACAATGCGGGCGAAATCCAAAAGTGCGGCCAAAATTGGAAAAACAATTTGCGGCCAAAATTGGAAAAAATTCTAGATAGGGCTTTTTCATCATGAAATAGGCTAAAGAGATCCTCTAAGAAGAGAACGTCCTCCACTTCAATTCCCCGTTTTGTTTTTAGTCGAAATGTGGCCTTTGCCTATTTAAGCAAAAAATTATGGTAGATTCAAAGGGAAAAGTTATAAACGTGTGAAAGTACTTTGAGTAAAGCAAATCCAACAAAACCAAATGGAATCTATTCCTGAAGGTTAGTAAAATACAAGTACAAATTTTTGTAAACACTGTAACCGAAATTTTTTAGAAATAGAAATATAAGGGTATATTTTTTTCCTTTTTGGTTGTTGTTGTTTCCGACAGGGTGGGTGTATGATGTATTATGGAACGAATTTCCGTCATCCCTTGTCAAATTTGGTTTGGAGACAAACCGGTTTCGGCGTTGTGCCATCTTCAGTGTCGTTTTTCGTATATATTTTTCGTGGTATATTTTTTTTTATTTAAGTTACTGGATTTTATGGAAATTGCCTTTTTTCTGCTAAAGAGATAGAGTATATTCGATTATTCGATTCGAATGACCACGATTTAGCTTTCCCTGATTCCATACATACACATTTGATGTAGCCTTTTTTTTGCGTTTTTTAAGATATTTGCCTTTTTTGCCTTTTCTACCTTTAAAAATGTGATTATAGCATTTATAATTTTTTTTTTAAGATTAAAAAATATACACATGTCCGTGCGGCTTATAGAAGCACAGGGACCTCTTGCCAAATTGGTGTTGGAAAAATTCAAAGCCGTTTTCTCAGCTAACGTAGGCTTGGAGACAATAATGGGGTGTGGATAAAATTGTAAAGGGCGAGGAAAACGCCCTTATTCCTGATAATATGAACGTTTCAAACATTCCATATTTAAATTTGGCTCCACTTTTATCAACTTACGTCGAGCGCAAAATTATTCATATAATGAAACTAGTTCATAGTTTTTCTCTTTTTACTTGTAATATAAACATTTCTAAAATAAATGTATTTTTTGATAGTTCTTCGTATTTTCTGTCTTTTTTAGTGCCTTATTTTGCTTTTGACGTAGAATACGTCTTACCTTAAGGTATGGGGGCTATGTTCAAATGTTGTAGTTGTAATTTTTAGAGCTTCACAAAAACGCTTATTGCACGAGAACTAATAAAGCGATTTTAAAGAAAAGTGTGGCGTTTCAAAGATAAAATTCCAAACCTGTCGACA